CAATCGAAGATACAGTTTCTCATGTAAATTTAAAAAGATGATTATCTCTGCAGTGAGAATAATGAGACCTTTCCATCTTTTTCATTTCAAATGTTACACAAAGCCTGAATCGACTTTACCCTTGTTTTGATACAGAGGCCTTCCTACTCCCATTAACCCTACCAACACTTGCAGTCTGCATCTGTTTGGCTTGTCAGATTGAACTCAGCCACACAGCAGCAAGGATCAGCACAAAATCCAACCTACCCTTGGAGCATTGGTACACAGTTTAGAGACTCAGGATTCCACTTCGCTCACTTGAGACCACCTGACATTCCTTGATGCTGACACATTTGTTCTCAGAATATCTGGAAGTGCTTGATTTTATAATAGCTCACTGCTTTATTTAACCTGTAGCGTAAGGTGAATTAAAGATTACCTGACAAGTGAGATTCAGTAGGATTCGGTACGGAGAGCCTCTATGTGGTACCCAATTAAACTGAGGTCTTTGTAGTCCTCCTTTTTTGCTCCGCTCATGGGAAAACCAATGTTTTAGCTAGGCAAGAAATGGCAGATACTAAAGGTTTCGTGGCATATTTAATGTGGAAGCTAGGCCAGATACAAAAAGGCTTATGAAGTGGTAATGACAAAGAAACCATTAAATTGCTGATCAATTGTAATTATAGGAAATAGTTAATGAATACATAAATAAAACAGGATCATGTATCTTCCAATTACAGTTATTTAGGTATGCAAATAAGCTGTAATATATCTGTTTTGCCTTCTCCTATGTCATTGTAGACAATATATTCAATATACTTGGGCATTATGGAGTAAATCCTTCATATTTGTATTACAAAAGACACTCCGCTTCTAATTTGTATGTCAAATGGGTGATTTTAATACTGTCATTGACTAGACAAGTGGCTCATTTTTATTTTCTTGCAGTTGCCCAATGATATTTTGCTAGTTGTTAAATTAAACATTGAGAGCACTTTTCTTTATTGAGCTATATATACTCTATTTCATTTAATATTTTCATTTGTTGGGTTTTCAGTCTGGCTCTTTGACTAGATCTTAATAGAAGATGTAAAACTAGAAAAATTACAGTCAGTGCCTACTTTTGTAAATAAAGAATTCCCTAGTCCAAATATGGGTTTGACATAAAAATCATCAACATTTATAAAGATAATTTGTAACTGTACTAACTAGAATTGGTACCTCTGCTTTCTTTTCATAGCATTCAACTGTGGCTTTCTTAATATTTTCAAAATAGGACTCTGCCAGCTGCTAGCTGCAGTACACTCATTTCAACTTAGAAGATAACCTGTTACTGTCTTGGAAATCACTGTTTTTTGTGTTTTTGATTTTTAAAAAAATATTCACAAGGGAAAAAGATGAGACTTGATCAGAAGGGCTCTTATGAAAGAATGTCTACTATGACCAAAAACTGTAGGCCTCAGATGAACTGTGGGCAGTAGGGTAGTCTGAACACATCAAACTCTAGAACTTTATGAAAATTGCTATTTTAACAATTTTAGGTGTACAATAAGTGGCATTAAGTACATTCACAATGGTGTAAACTGTTACCAGTAGTTATTTCAAATTTTTTTTATCATCCCAAATAGAAACTCTGTATCAAGAAAAACTCTCCTCCCCTCTGTCAGCCCTTAGTAACACTAATTTACTTTCTGTTTCCATGAATTTGCCTATTATAGATAGTTCATTTAAGTGGAATCACAGAATATTTGTCTTTTGCATTTGCCTTATTTCAATGTAGCAAGATGTTTTCAAGGTGCATCCATGTTGTAGCATGTATCAGAACTTCGTTCCTTTTTAAGGCTGAATAATATTACACTATACGTATACACCACATTTTGTCTACTCATTCATCTGTTGATAGACACTTGGGTTGTTTCTACCTTTTGGCTTTTCTAAAGAGTGGTAATATAATCACCGGCATACAAGTATGTATCTGTTGGATGCTTGTTTTCAATTTTTTTGGCTATTTACATAAGAGTGGAATTGCTGGTCATAGTGTAATACTAAGATTATAGTTTGAAAGAATTGCCAAACTGTTAAACAGAAGGTGCATCATTTTGCATTCCTGCCAGGCTTGTTTCTCCATATCCTTGCCAACAGTTGGGTGTGAATTGGTATCTCACTGTGGTTTTGATTTGCATTTCGTTAAAGACTAATGATGTCAAGTATGTTTTCATGTGTTTATTGGCCATTAGTATATCTTCTTCACCCCTAGAGCCAAAGGGACTGGAGGCTGGAAAAAGAAAGTAGTTAGAGAAGGCTTCCGGGAGAGAAGTGTTAACCTTCAATAGAGGGATACAGCAAACCTGAGAATTTTTGAGGAAGAATACAGGGGGATAAACATCCTTGACTCTTCCCCTCTTATAACTTGTCAGAACTCCCCATTAGCTCAACAGCTGGAAGCCAGAGAACATGGAAGCCAGTCTCCTACAACAGACAGCAGGGTGAATAAGGGTGGAGAGTGAGTGAAAGGTGGAACAAATGGAAGCTATCCAGCACAACCATGGATGCATAGAATTCCAGTAAAGAGACTTTAAATTGAGATGCTTCCAACTTACTTGGTGGTGGGAAGGAAGCATTAGTAAAGTCATACAGATCTGTACAGCAGGTTAAAAGATGATGGAACAGCATACGCAAATAAATACTTAAAGTTATTTTTAGCCCCGTGGGGAGAAAAGTTATTAAGATCCATCTCTATACAAATACTTAAATCATATCTCAAAAATAATTTCCTGATGTTGGACTGAAGCACTAATACTGACCATAGAATTTGTTCAGTCATTGTTGTCTATAAGCATTAATGACCACAGAGTTTGAAGATGAAGGATTTATTCATGATAGTATCTGGTCTCTGATAAACAAGACATTGGCTAATTTATTCATAATGTGATGGCTCTTCATTTACATATTCATAATGTGATGGCTGTACTATTACATATTTTTTAAAATGTTTATTTATGTATTTTGAGAGAGGATTACACATGCCAGCACAGAAAGAGGGAGAAAGAGAATCCCAAGCAGTCTCCATGATGTCAGACAGCTGTGCTGACAGCTCAGCGCCTGGAGCCTGCTTTGGATTCTGCCTCCCTCTCTCTCTGCCCCACCCCCACTTGTGATCTGTCTCTCTCTCTCAAAAATGAATAAACATTGAAAAAAATTTAGAAACAAACAAGCAAACAAACAAACAAAGATCCAATGGCAGCATTCAGACTCAAAAGCCTTAAGAACTCACTGAGTTAAGGGCATGTCCTATAGAGTAACATGGACTCATGTTTCAATCCTGGCTCTGAGATAGGCAAATTAAAACTGAGTCTAAGTTTTTCTCATATGTAAAATGTGTAGAATAATGTCTCCCTCATAGAATTGTTGTGAAGAATGAAATAACGTATAAACAGTATTTACTACTTACAAAGACCAATAATTAGGATTATCATCATTGTAAAGATTTCTTCTTTATGGCTATCACTTAGAACCCAGAAATATGTGCTTTTCAATAGTATTTCTGTGGCTTGAATGTACTGATAGTCATTGTAATTGAAAATTGATATTTTTCATTGGAGTGATGTGGCAATGTAGATTAATGTAGCAGCAGTAGTATTATGGCAGTAATAATATATTTATTATAATTATATTATATATAATATATTATAATTATAATAATTATTATCATTTAACAACTTACATATAAATAATTTAGATACCATGACTTTAGTTCTAAAATGTTCTCATTTACTTAAAACTGCACATTTGTCATTTAGTATACTGACTTTCTCTGAAATAGGTGTATTTAAATTGTTCCCTGTTAGATGTCAGATATAATAATATAAAAGAGGAAGTGAGTGATATATGACATAATTAATATCCACTTAGATCCTTCTTTAATATGGTCAGTTAAGCTTCATCATCAAGGATGACCTTCATTTAGTGTTAAAAACCAATGTTACTGTTAGCCCTGTAACTTCTGAGACAAGGATGCTTAAAATGGCTATGACCAAAAGTTTCAAAGTTCTCATCTGACTACCCTTCTAGATTACTCAGTATATAGAGACACTAAGGAATGTACATATTAGAGGGGAATATTTTATCTCCACTGCTTATTTATTTGAGAAGGAAATTTTTCTAAGTATATTCCTAACTTTGCTTTTGTCCCTCTATTCACTCTGTCCAGGGTAGTGGTTTATTTGATTGGCAAATTTGGGAAGGCTCTCTCTTGCCCTTCTTCCTTTTGGGAATAAGTTACCTGCAGGGATCAAACTACCTCTGCCACTTTTCCAGGATCAGATCCTTCCCTCCCTTTAGAAAGAGGGCCTGTCCTGGCTCGATGTTGCCCCCATCTAGATATGTTCACCAATTCTGGGGGGTTTGTGAGCAAGCCCATTTGTTCTCATATAAACTATATTCTCTAACTTGTGTTTTATAAAAAATAACGGTGATATTTTTGACCTCCATATGCTACTCTTTGTTTTATTTTCAATCTGCTTAGAACACAGTCAGGGGAGAGGGAGACATTTTATTTTTTCACATACTCCTCGTATCTAAAAGTGGATATCCTTCCGGAATTCTCTATAATCAAAAAAGCTTTGAGCCTATAGTAAATAAAATCCTCAAATCCAAAAAATTCTATTATGATCAGTTTTCAGAGCCTCCAATCAAGCCCCAGTGTGCTCCAATGGAAGGAATTGAAGCTATTTTCTATGCAATTTCAGAAAGAAGTTCAAAAACAAAACAACAACAAAAAAAACCCTTAGGCTATCATTTGTATCTTTCTAAGTTTACTATTGATCTTAATGTTGCACAATGAGGGAAAAGCATTAATTCTTTTACCGGGAAGAGGTAGACAAACTCTTCTACAGACAGATACGCAAAGCTCGTTTGCTTTACGACCAACTCCTGAAGAAACATACTTTTACACAAACTATTATAAGACACAGTTGGATAACACAGCATTATGTTCATATGACATTTCTGAGTCCACTTACCTCTGCTGTGTGCTTTGCCACCTGCCCCACAATGACAATGACCTTCCCTTTGAAGCTCTGGAGCACAGAAGTGAAAGGGCCCTGGGTAAGCTCTCCATCTGCAGTGAATGCAGCACTGAATGGAATGTTGATGCTGCCTGAAATATGACCCCGAATAAAACTGAGAAGGAAAGTTAAGGAAAACATTTATTTGTGTGTAGACTTGAGTGTGGGAGGGAAACTCACAGAGGTAATTGACCCACAGGAGATAGTACGTTAAAGTTAAATGCAAATGGAGACCAGACTTAAAAATTCCAAGCGGACAAAACTTGTTTAGTCATACAAGGACAGTTTAGCTTATTTTGCAAGACAAGTGAGGCTAACTTAACCTAGGACACTTCTTGCTTATGCCTCTGAAAATCATAAGCAAAATTTAAATTTTCCCCCAATTGTTATGTGACCCCAACCAATTCCCTCTCATTTAAGAAAATTCTAATATTGTAACCAAACTGAAAACTAAGCAGTCACTACCTCCACATTGTATAAGCTGCTTTGTAACAATATGCCCTGAGCCTCACTCTATGTTTTGTTTGAGTGCTCCTGATTTATAGTCTGTCTTTTTGGTATGTGCACCATAAACTTTTGCTAATTGCTATTTCAGTGATTCATTGGTTTTACTTCTGTTTTTTTCCTTCTTCTCACCTGAACTTCTGACAGTTCTAAACATCTTGAACGCTCAAGATGTTGAATGTGTATTTTATCTAAATGAAGGTACCGCTAAGAAAAACAAACAAAAACGCTAAATGTGAAAATAGAACGGAAAAAAGAAAGGAAAAACATGAGTCAAAAATTTAAAGCAGACTGTCCTGATTGAATGAAGTATTGTAAAAGTCATCAGGATGTAGCAAATCAGTGGCAATCACATGGGTTGCATATTGACGGCTTTCAGTTTATTACTACTACCATGATTATTTTATAGCTCTGAAAGTAAACTGGATATTCTAAGATCTAACTCGATACTGCAAAGCCTATCTACTTTGGGCAAGTGATTGCTAAATGGGATTCTGTTTAGAATTGTTAGGTCATTAGCACTGCTTGGAAACACTTCTGTTGTCGGCTATTTCTCAAGTAAACTTCAATGACATTTCCATTCTTTCCAATTTTATGTTCTCTAAAGGCATAATGTGTTATTATATTTGTACTTCAGAAGGGTTCTTCTGGTTTCATTGTGTTTTACCTTTAATTTGGCAACTAAAAGCATATGTTAGTTTAAAATATTTAGTAATACCATATGATCTTTTTTCTTTTATTAAAAAAAAATTTTTTTAACGTTTATTTTTGAGACAGAGAGAGACAGAGCATGAACGGGGAAGGGGCAGAGAGAGAGGGAGACACAGAATCGGAAGCAGGCTCCAGGCTCTGAGCCATCAGCCCAGAGCCCGACGCGGGGCTCGAACTCACGGACCGCGAGATCGTGACCTGAGCTGAAGTCGGACGCTCAACCGACTGAGCCACCCAGGCGCCCCTGTAATATCATATGATCTTAAAGAAAAAGATATATGCCTCTAACTAAGGCATAGTATGTTTCAAGAAGTGGTAGATGATGAAGTCAGAGAGGCAAATTAAATAATTATGAACTTAGTCCTGTGACCATTCTCAAAGTATTTAAATTTCTGTTAGAAATGTGAGATTCCTTTTTATGTTATTATTTGTTACCTGTCAATACTGCCTGCCCCTGTCACTAAATGCCATGAGTTTAACATATTGTGCTTCTTGGACTCTCTAGATTTGTTCTAAAAATTTTATAGGGGCGCCTAGGTGGCTCAGTTGATTACGCATCTGACTTTGGCTCAGGTAATGCTCTTGCGGTTCATGGTTTCCAGCCCCTTATTGGGTTCTCTGCTGTCAGCATATAGCCAGCTTTGGATCCTCTGTCTCCCTCTCTCTGTCCCCCCCCAAATAAATAAACATTAAGAAAATTAAAAAAATTACAAATAAAGGCACATATATCTTTAAAAAAAGATAAAAAAGAAAATATATGTTCCCAAAAGTAATTTAAAAGTACAATTAAAAAGATGATTCCTGGGGTGTCTGGTTGGCTCAGTCAATAGAGCATGCAATGCTTGACCTTGGGTCATGAGTTTGAGCCCCACCTTAGGAGCAGAGATTACTTAAAAATAAAATGTTCTGAAAAGAAATATGATTCTTCCTATAGAGTCTATAGAGGAAGACACTCCCAAATAACTCTCCAAATAAACATAAAATAACTGTCAAAACTGCTCTGAAAGAGACATATATGATACTCTGATAGAATATATCAACTTGGGGAAGATAGGGAAGGTTTTCATGGAGAAAGCAAATGACACTGAGTTAGAATTGAAGAATTAACAAAGGTTAATTAGCCAAGGGGATGGAATGGAGGTGGGACAGGGTGATGGAAGGGACACATGTTTCATGCAGAAATGTTAGGCTGATAGAGGGTAGGCACATGGCCAGTAAGGAGAAAGAAAGGAAGGCCAGTGCCAGCAGAATTTAGAGATCAACGCGTAGCACGAGGTAAGGTGAGCTTGGAAGCGGATGCAGAGGCCAGGCTGAGCAGGCCCTTGTAGGTCACATTGATAATGTTAGTCTTTATCCTAGAGCATTGAAAATCAGTATTTTAAACAGAGAAGTAACAAATCACATTTGTACTTTGGCAACGAAGTGGAGAAAGGCTAGAAGACTGAATGTGAAGACTGGTTTATATAAGAAGTCCAGGCAATGTCTTGCCTCCCTTAACAATCACTGAAGATGACCATGGAGGGATGTTTATGTGCTCACAGAGGCATTTCCCCTACACTTCCACTTTAGAGATGTCTTAAAAAATGGAATAGTCACAGAATTTTAAAAGGTTATGCTACAAGCAACTAATATTCCACCCCACCCCCAACTCAACTAGTGATCACTGTAGAAGGGGAAAATTGTAATTATTTACTGACATGATAGTGTCTCAATTGCTCCAGTTTGTAGGTTCACCTTTAGACTCCACTTCTTCCTTTCTCTCTCATTCAACGTTGAGAGGAGAAATTGAGGCTCCTACTCTCAAGAGTGATGGTAAAGACTGATCATGTGTCTTACATTCAAAATTTTTTAGTCAGTTGCTGCTTCATCGTTTTTTTCTTGAAAGAAAACATTTGGCATTAATAATGAGGGAAACAATTATAAAAAAGTTTTGAAAAATAAAAAGAGAGGGAAAGTAAACATTAGTACCCCATGTACACTGTTTAGTTCGAGTCTTGTAGGATGGACAAAGAATGTATAATCATGGGCGGATCACCCTGGATTTCATCGGCACTAGGTTCTCAAACATTTATAATTACTCAATATTCTCAGCTGCAGTTTTTATGAACAGCTATGGCTTTGTTCTCAGCATATAATTACTCTGATAATACTTTTATCTTCACTTAGGACATACCTTAGCATGGAATTTTCTGATGCCACAAACCAAGAACCTAACAACTCAAATATTCTCAGCAAACGATTCTACATCTGCCATTCTGAGTCAGTTGCCAGAGAGAGTTTCTGTGTTTATCAAACAGCCCTTATCAACTGTGAACATTTTTTTTTTTCTTTCTGGTGTTTATAAAGTAGCAAAACCAATATAAGCTGATCCTAGTCAAGCACTGTAGTAGACATATTTGGGGGGCTTGCTCGCCTCCCACTTTCTTGTTTGAAAGAGCCCCAACTACTGCTCCTAAGAAAGGGTGAGCCTAGGTCGCTGGGTTGTATCAGATGATCCTTCCATAATCATGACTGACAGTACAGAAGGGAAGGGGAGGGTGAAGGTAGATATCTGATGCAGGCTGAGCCAATCAGATCCTCTCCCTTGAAAGTCAGAAATAAAAGATAAAAGACAATGCTTAGACTGTGTTAAGCTTTACAATGTAAGTTACATTTGAGGGTCTGCTATAAAAATCTGTCAGTCACATATTAGAAAATTAGTGATTTGAAAAATAAAGTTTATTTTACAGGATAAATTCTATAAATATTTGGCTTGAAAAAGTACTCATCTGTACTCAAATAGCCAATATCTAAAATCTGTATCTAAAATCATACAGAAACACCTAGATGATTTTGTGAATTTAGTATCACCACCAATTTATTCCATGCTTTTGAAGATTTCAGTCCAGGGGTACCTGGGTGGTTCAGTCGGTTGAGTATCTGACTTCGGCTCAGGTCATGATCTCAGGGTTCGTGGGTTCAAGCCCTGCACTGGACTCTGTGCCAGCTCAGAGCCTGGAACCTGCTTCAGAATCTGTGTCTCCCTCTCTCTCTGCCCCTCCCCTGCTCACACTCTCTCTGTCTCTCTCTCAAAAATAAACATTAAAAAAAAAAAAAAAGATTTCAGCCCAAATTGCCTTTTAGTCACTAGAAGTCATAAACTTGTTATTATCCTAGTGTTTTCTGTTTGTGCTTTATAGTTTGATTTTTAAAAACATCCATATTAAATGTCAAAATGCTTTAAAATATGATGGCAGCAGAGACTTTCTGGAAAGAAGAAAATTATAGTCCAAAATGCAAAGCTATTCCAAATCTTTTCCAGGCTATCTCAACATTTTGAAAGATAAGGCACAACAGAAATAAAACTTTAAACCACACTTCCCCTATTCTTAGTTTAGTTCAATCAAAAAGTCCTGGAAAACATTTAAAAGCACTCATCCAAGAACACTCTTGTCATAAAACTTCTAGTGCAAATAAGAATAGGTAAGCGTGAGTGCTCTTAGGGTGGTCCACGCTCTAAATATCTATCCTTAACTACATGGTAAATAGCAGAGAAGAGTAAGGTTGGCCTAGTTACGTATTAAGACATTTACTGTGAACATTACCTTTGTTTACGTAAGTTGAACAATGAAGTCCATTTTGATTTAAGGATATAGCTTCCTTGGTAATTAAGATTCTCTGTCTCCATTACAAATTCTCATGTGAAACAGACATCATATGATGAAGCAGAACTCCTTTATGTAATTTCCAAACATGTGAGAGTCTGCCAGGTTATATTGTAAAGGTAGATAGTTGACTTCTCTTACTTTCCAAGTCCTCCATAATCATAATAAAACATTAGGTTTATCTGAAAACTGAGCAAAGAGCAGATTTCTGTATATTTTGTGTTAGCTAGACAGAACAAGTAAAGAGTGAGATAGA